AAGTATTATGTGACTTTTTAATTTAAAAAATTAGAAAAACTTAGAAATTGACACGTGGATATTATTTAATTTCTAAAATATCATAAAATGACAAGTGTCAAAACTCATAAGAGATTGATACGTGGCAAAATGGATCTTGATTTATTATAGTTTATAGTTGATGCTTTTTGACAACCATATACCACTTGGAATATTTATATCTTCAAGCTTAACATACATACTTGATCCTATTATTTCCAACAACCATTCCTTAAAAATCAATACCCTTTCGTGGAGGCTTCATCACATGTAGATTCCTGCCCGAGTCACATTATACAAATTCGGGTGGTAATCAATTTAAGACGGAAAGCCATGTCCTCAGCTACCTTGCAAGATTTACATCTGCTCTACCTTCCCTGTTCGATAGGGTCATTTGTTTTGTTTACATGGGCCATATAAAATTTAAAAACCTCAAATTGCAGTACTCCCTAGGTGCGGCTTCTCATATCTGTCTCGTGGCAAGGTTCACATGCCATCGTTTTTATGAGTTAATAGTCGCAAATTAAAAGGATGCTCTTTTAAGTGGTGTTATAAATCCCTCAGCTGAGTGTTCCCTCCCTGTGTAATTCTAGCAGCTGGGTTGTTGGTTCTTTAATATAATTGGTTGTCCCATATAAAAATAAAAATAAAAACTAGTAAGACAAGATGCATCAAGGTTGAGATTCATCTAGATGATCTTATAGATTTCAACACCTACATACATGCTAATTGCCAGCACTGCAAACTCAATGGTGAAACAAGTGAGAGAGGAATACCACCATTCCTGTGATATTGGTGCATAAAACACGGCTAAATCCACATGTTGATGAGGTTTTTTCCGTTCAGGCTTTGGTCAGTTACTAACCAAAGTAATTTTATATGGTTTCAGTATATCAAATACTTATAATTTTCCTTCTTCAATTGTGTATAGCTTCTTAGATGTGAAAAATGGTGGTCAGTTCAAATGTTCAATTGAACTTGTGTTCTTAAAACACAAATGCAAAATCAGAGTGTATAAACAAATAATCATTGAACTTTAAATAATCAAGTACCCATTCAAAACTAACTATAGACTGCTAATAAAAACAATGTAGCTTCTTGCTTATATATCCGGGATCAAAACACAAATGTAAACGAATTGAAAGACAATGACTATTAAAGCTTGAGATTTAAATCAAGACCGACAGTGGATGTATCTTGAGGGTTCTCTGGATGAACCACACCTATCCGTGCCAACAGATTATCGGCACTATTTTCTCCTTCAATCCCATTATTATGTGTAGCAGTAGGATTTCCATTTCCAGAAGGAACTCCAAAAAAATCATGAGGAGCTCCTGTGCAGCCTTCATATCTAGAAGAGGGCGAAGCTGCAGTTGCTATTACAGGAGAACCAAAACCAACACTAGTATTTGTACTGTTACCTTGAAAACTCTCCAACATCTTTGTCCTATGATCAAAATATGGAGGTAATCTATTGGTGAATTGTTCATGATGCCCTACTGAGGCAAAACGATAATTCAGTGGTGAGGTTGACCACGAAGGCGGCCTTTGGATTAATGGTTCGTTTCTAATCCCAAGTGATGACCTAATATTGGTGCTAACTGAGGCATTCGTCAAATTAGCAAACGAAGGGTAGTACGTAAAATTACCATAATGGGGTGGTGGTGGCACTAGGTGGCCATAAGGCGGAACCTCCATTTGTCGCCTCTTGGCAATTTGCCTCTCCTGTTTATGGGCATTTTGGTGACCTCCGAGGGCTTGAGAGGTTGAGAACTCTCTCTTACAGTAATTGCAAGAGAAAACCCTAGACTTTTCCCGAGTCTCCTCCTTCGAAGACTCACTTGCCTGAGATGAAGTTGCCCCCTCCACCACCCTTGAAGGGTTAAAGAGATTGAGCTCTATTTTCTTGTCTTCTACAGTTGAGAGTTTGAGATCAAGAAAAGCCCTAGAAGATGACTGATTGACGACCCTCCTGTTGAGTTGAATATCAGAAGAACCCTCTGTGACCGCTTTGCTATCCGAGGTCTTGTTCTTCAAGCTTTCTCCTTCTGCCGATATGCTTGATGCCTCGGAGGGGCATGGCTCTGGTTTGTGTTCTTCTTCCATTATTTGAACAGATTGAGAGATCGTAATAGAGGTGGAGAGAGATCTGAAGCAAGATGGAGATCAAATGGAAAGCATGCTTGTTTAAATAAAGAGGGAGTTAAATGCATGAGATCTGATATACATGGAAACAATATCCACTGTAATCATTGCATGGAGTAAAACTAGCACATAATTAAGCAAATATAATGGGTGATGAATTAATTATATCTCTAGATTTGAAGGAAACATAATGTTCATCTTAGGCTCCTAGTCATCTTTCATTGTAGCCAGTCGTAGTTCGTGAAGAGAATTCATGTCCCTTTGTTTTATTTCTCAAGATAGTTTCGTCATTAATGCAAAATATTTAGAAAGACACTGAATAGTATATTAGGTGAGAGATTTTCTCTATTTTATATATATTAATATATTAATTTACAAGTAACTATTCAACATAATGCCATATTTCCTGAAAAATAAAAATAAAAATCATTTATTTTTGCATAAATCATACAATATCTAGGCCTATAATAAACTTAACAATGTAACAAATTTGGTAAACTTTAGCTAAAAATTAATAAATAAATTTTCTCCAAGTCAAAGTTTACAGGTATCTTATATCATCATTGAATATTAAAAAACCGTATTTTTATGTGTTCGCTACAAAAATACGGACAGTAAGGGCGACATTTATTGTCAGTAATACAATAATTTGTAGCGGCTATTGCCTTTAGCGGTGGCAAGAATGTTGTCGGTAATGCTTTGTTGCAAATACTCAGGTGTCGTTGCTAGATAATAGTGCTGCAAATATTGTTCGTTCTCGCCCTTAATATTGTCGACCATATTGCTATTTTTTATAAAAAAGAATTAATTGAGAAAAATAACTTTAAATACAGAAAAATAGTAGTAAATGTAGAAAAACTACTATTATATAAAACGCATAATCTACTTCAATATTTCATAATATATTAAAGTTATTGATTACAAAAAACATCTACAAAACATAAAATAAAAAATAAAACTAGTTTGGCCAAATTAACGGATGGGTGAACAGATGTCTATTTTTTTTAACTGGCAAATTTAATATATTCCTAAGCTAGCTCCTAATATTATATATGTCGTAGACGAGAGTTGAACCATAACCTAAAAAATGGAGGAAAACGCATGATATTGTTGAGTTAAAGAATCTGATGTTGCCCGTATTCATGGCCTTGGATATTGGAGAGTTACAAAAATTCAAGTTTTTTTCATGAGATCCTTAATCTCATGAGAGTGTAGAGATGTTACTTTCTCGCTTCCGGTCTCAAAGTTAACCTCACTAAAAGCAAGGTGTTTAGTGTTGGGCTGAGTGTTGAGGAAATTGCAAAATTGGACCGGTTGGTTAAATTATTGTCGAGGATCCTTCCCGTTCAGTTATCTTGACATCACGATGGGGGCTAGGATGACCATGACAAGTAATTGGACACCTCTTATAAAGAAAATTCAAAATAAATATATAGTTGGAATGCGAGGTATCTCTCATATGGTGGTATACTTACCTTACATAAAGCTGTCCTTGGTAGCATGTGGACCCATTTATTCTCTTTATGAAGGTCATATGACAATCATCAAGACACTAGAGAGTAAACACCACTCCTTTTGGGGTGGTTTTGGAGGGCAACAAGTTCATGTATATACCATGGAAAAAGACCTTCTATAATAAGAAAATAAGATCCCAAATATTGGAAGTGTTTGTGCTTTTAACCTTGCTTTACTTTTTAAATGTCCTTGGATGTGTAGAAATGAGAAAATATCTTTACTGAAGGAGATTGTGTACTCCCTTCATAGTACAAACGGTAGTATTGGTTGTATTAGATCAATATCTTATACGGGAGGCACTTGCAGTACAACTAGTCACATTTACTTGGAGCTTAAAAAGTATAATGTTGATATATACTTTCTTTTCACTAGTCTAAATAGTAGTTGTATTTGGAATGTTATCAATGAGGGTTGTTATACGGTCTCTTCATTATGAAAGATCATTGACGGTAATGGAAGGTCATATCACACATGCCAACTGGATATAATCATGGTATGTATAGACTCATTGTAGTATTTTCCTTATTCTCCCTCATTACGGTCATTCCCTTTCTCCGCGTTCCATTACATCCAACCAAACATACATTATGAATTTAATACAAGTGTCAGGTTTATCAATGATATTCTTACGTGTTTTATATGATTTGATAAGGAATAATTTGTTAGCGGTATTAACAAAAGGAGAAATTATATATAAGGTTCATTTGCAATCAAGTTTCTTGTTTCTTCCCTAACAAATATTAGTTTTATAATTTTATGTTTTTAGTTGTACTAGCACAACATTTAGACTTGTTTTATTTTGAAGAAATTTGTGTTTTAGTTATTTAGAATATTGTTATCAGACCAGTTAAATTTTAGTTTAAGTAATGATATTGTGTTTTTCCATTTTTTGTCTTAATTATGTTTTATTACTTATATTCCATTTAATGCTTTGAAAAATTAGACCTAATTTTGAATATAATTTTGGGAAAATGGCATATATGCCCTATTATGTTTCTAGGGTTTACTCATTTAGCTACTTAACTTATTTTGTGGCTTTATAAGGGAACGAAATATATGTTACCTACCAATATAATCCCTTTCACATATTGTAGCCGGTTTACATTGCCACATAAGCCTAGCCTAACACGTAAGCGACGACATAGCAAAAATTCAAAGCGTCCAACAACTGAAACGATGTCGTATTGAATGTGAATCGTAGGGAGCACGCTTCGACTGTTTAGGCGCCTCCATATAAAATGAACACTTAGTTGCCCTAAAATAGCACATCTGCAAAGTTCATTACCCCAATCTCATCTTTAAGTTCACTCCAAAATTGGAAAATGCCTTCGATCGCACCTGCAGAACACAGTTGGTCTCCAAACTACCACCGTCACATGGAGGAGAATCATTCCAATGGTGTAACCAACAAAGACATGGCCATCAATCTACTGCAAACCCGGCTGGAATTGTCTCTCATACGGGAGGACTTCCAAGACCAGTTGCGTGAGCTCCGACAGGGTGTTAATCGAGACTTGGATGCCATGAACCGTGAGGTCGATGACGTTCGCGTTGGTCAGCTGGATATCTCTAGTCTTGTTGCTGATTAGAAGGAAGCAACTAATTAATGACATGACATTACACGAAAGACACAGTGAACATCCGATGGTGGTGTTAGTAGAGGGATGTGGACTAAAAATGACCGGCTAACCCCTTCACAAATGAAATAAGGACCTAATCGACCCGACAAAGTGTAATTTGTTCCCTTATAAAGCCACAAAATAAGTTAAGTGGCTAAATGGGTAAACCCTAGAAACATAATAGGACATATATGTCATTTTCCCTATAATTTTTTTAAGAAAAAAAATATGTCTCTGAAACAGAAAAATGATATTTATTTTAGCAAATATATAATGGTATAAAAGAGTGACACTGAAACTCAAAAAAGTCCTACGGTGACATAACAAAAAAGTGTTACTAAAATCCAAAATGCTACAACGGCACAACCAAAATGTGTCACTAAAGATATTTAGTGGCACCACATATAGTGACACTTTGTTTGTGCCGCTAATTGCCAAGGGGGACTTTTATGACACTTTTTTTTGGTATTCAGTGGTATTTGTTATGACAATAAGTGTCATTGTTGTTTGTGGTGTTGGAATTGCATTACACTAGGAAGAATTTCCATTTGGATACATCTCCAAAAAATTCGGGTAAACATTAGTTTGGTCCATTGCTCTCTTTTACGGACCAACCCTGAAATGGAAGACCATTTGTTTATTATATGTTCCATGACCAAACAAGTTAGATCGTTACTTAACCAGTAGAGGAGCAACCTTTACACTCACCTATATTTAGTCTAACAGTTGGTTGACTACGGTGATGATTTTGATATGAGTTTCAAGATTAAAATGGTTATCCATGTTGTTTCTTTAGCCTTGGTCTAGACTATTTGGAAGCAAATGAATTATTGTGTTTCCAAAATCAAATATAAAAGTAATAAAGACCTTTCTAGTGAAATGAAGATTCTTGTGTTCAATTTGGCTTAGAATCAGAGATACGAGAGGTACATGTATCGAGTGGGATTGATGGTGTTGTAACCCCAAGTCTAAATGTTGTAACACTCTTTAATCTCTAGCTTCTTACTAGTTTTTTTCAATAAAACTTTTTTGTTAAAAAAATGTAAAAGTACTCGAACAATTCATTATCTGTCCCCCTTGTTCCCCTTGTTATTGCCCCCAATAACACTTTGTATCAACAAGTATAAGTCTTCAAGTATTGTTTTAGCCTCCGAGTTACTAAGAATAGAAACAAAAAGATTCAACTCTAGCTACAAAATATATATGTACATTAATAAAATTATAAGTTAAAACAATAACCTAAAACAAAAGAAATTTCCAAACTAATAATTACCAAAATATCAACATACAAAAACTACCACACTACAAAACTACCAAACTATCAACATAAACTAAAGTATCAAACTACAAAAATATCACATTAAACTAAAGTACGAAACTAATATCAACATGAACCAAAATACAAAACTAATAATTACCAAACTACTAAACTACCAAGTATCAACATAAACTAAACTATATAAACTATAAAAAATTCCAACATAAACCAAACTACATACTACCAAAGTACCAAATTACCAATGTATCAACATAAACCAAATAGGTCACCATTAAATCTGGATAGGGTACGCATCTAAGTTTACGTTACTACCATTTACCCCCACTACATGTATTCCCCATTCTTAATTAAATCATTATTAATCCACATAGAAGGTCCATACATTAGTTTCTCATCTATATATGATATTGCCATATTTATATGTATTTTTATGTGTTATTTCAATACATTTGAGTTATAATTTGGTTAAAATATAAAGAAATTGGGTACTTATTAGTATAAGTTCTATTTTGTAGACAAATAAGAATAATCTAAAGGAAAAGGACCAGAATTGGAAAAAGATAGAAGCTTGGAGGATAGAGCATGCATAAAGAGAAACATAGGAGAATAGCTGCATAATGAGGATTTCATAGTGTGGTAAAGTCTAGTCCACACCGTGGCAACATAGAAAGTATTCTCGACTAATCTGTTGGTGACTTGCGACATACGTAATTTATATGGATTCCACGACATGGGAATTATTTGGCCACGACATGGAAGCGATAATTTGGTAAGTATAAATATCGTTTTTTAGCTCAGATTTTGAGATGCATGCTTAGAAAGTTGCTAAGATTTTATAAGAAAAGCAACTAAGACCTTTGAGAAAACCTTGGAGATCAAATTTTGATTGGAGAGAGAGTATTAGAGATATTGGAGTAAACATATACAAGTAATCATTCGGTTTGCATAGTCTTTATCATGTTTAATCTATCTTACTATTTGATTAAATGTTTTTCTGTTGTAATCATGGGCTAATAACCCTTTACTTTCGTTTACACAAGATAAACCCTACTATGTGCTAGTTTCTGTTTTTCTGGATTATTAAAGTTGGATTTAGCTTATGTTTGATAGATCATCATCTTAGAATGTTAAAATTCCTATCTTTATTACTTTTCTCTCAAGTTTTGTGTAGTTAAGTGGCCATTGATTGCATGAACTTTTAAACTAGTTGTTTATGATCATTGAATTGCTAGAGCTAGAAGTTAATCATACCCTAATATAAATAGTAGAGTTAGCTGTTAATTGTGTTACAGAGCATTATTTAATCATAATAATTGATTTATTGTTTATATTGATCATGGATAGATAAGTGTTAGATTTACTCATTCATAGTCCAAAACCGATCTTAAAATCAATTTAGGCCCCGTTTGATAGTTTCTATTGGGGAAAGTGCTGTTTTGGGAAAGTGTTGTATGGGAAAGTTTTCCGACTGGGAAAGAAACCATGTTGTTTGATTGTACATCTGATTGACTGTACTGAATGATGAAAAATGACAATATTACTCTGTTGTTCTATACTGTGATGGATGAAGTTGCTGAATAATTATAAAAACATACAAATTGTCATACAAAATCAAAATTACACAATAATCATTTAAAAATCCAAATAGAATGTCGATTAAGTTGTTTTTAGTTTTTTTCAAGTTAATGTTACGTTGTTATTCTTTCTAGCAATTTAAAAAAAAAATTATAACTCAACATGTGATTCTTGACTCGGTTTATGTCCGATAGTGGTGAGATGGATGAATTTTTTTCAAAATATGTTAGGATGATGGTAGTGTTGTCCAAAAAAAAAAGAAATAATTCAATAAAAATGAATTAAAAAAATTAACTAAAAGAAATTAATAATCCAACAAAGTAATATTTATTAATATATAAAATTATATATTTATAAATAATATTTTTTAATATATAATAATCCAATAAAAAGAATTAATCCATTTAAAAGAAATAAAAAAAGAATTATTTAAAAGAAATTAATAATCCAATAAAATAATATTAATTAATACATAAATATTGTATATTAAATTTAATATTTATTAATATATAATCAATGCTGGGTTTAGTTCAAAAATAGTTTCACAAACAAGAAAAAAAATATGGCAACGAAAGACTTTTTATTTGAAATAATATAAACATTTTATACCCACCAAGGATCTTCTTGCAAGTTATGGAAAGATTAAAACACCAAGCATAGAAAGGATGAAGAAATAACAACATTTGTAGTTCTTTGGGTCCTCTCGGGAGGCTTGGAACTTGATGAAGAATGTTGAACCTTTGAGACACCAACAATGACTCAACTTGATGTAGATGCTAGTCCAAAACTCTTAAACTCCTAAGCTTTAAGTTCATAACCAATATGAACTTAAAGAAAGCATGAGGATGCAAATAACTTCAAGACAGGAAGAACAAAAGGGAAAGAGTAACATGCTCTAAGCATGTTATGGTTTTAGGGAAGAAGAATGGAGCACCTCTTCAAGAGTGAAAGCCTCATATTTATAATGTCTTAAAGTGAAGTCTTTACCCATTAGGTACTTCCACTTTAGACAATCTTATCCCCTAAAGCATACTTGTCCCCCTATGCTTTTAAAGTTATGTATACATTTAGGTAAAAGACGAAGATTGTCCCCCTATGCTTTTAAAGTTATGTATACATTTAAATAAATCAAAGCATCAAATCATGTCCCTTAAAAGTATAACTTCGAAATTTATATACAAAAAGGAGACGAAGATTGTATATTTTATAAAACCAAAGTTTATAAAATATAAGCCTTAACATTTAGGTAAAAGACAAAAAGTCATTTTGGTCCAAAATGTTGTACATGACTTAATAAATCATACCATATGATATATTATGTTACTTGCTAATGAAAATTAATTATTTCCTAGAAATAAATAATTCCCAATTTAATTATAAGAGTTTTATTCAATATTTATTAAAATCAATTTCTAATAAATAATCAATTGTATCACGTTGTTGTTAGTGTGACCCATTAGTATCATATGTTATTTAGCAGTATCACTTTAATATGACTCTTGAGCATACTAGATCTTTCAATCTTCCACTTGCGCAAGACTCATATTAGACTGATATAGACAGTGGTGAATGTCTAGCAACATTTCGCTGCCCCTCAGACCATACGATTGTTTGTGACATTCTATCAAAAAGCTCAAAGCTACAATTGGTGTATAAGGTAAATTTATCAGTTATCCCTTTGCTACAGACATCATGTTGAACATGAGATGCGAATCGCGATCAATCACATTAGTTGTTCAACTTTTGGTAAGGCAACTTAGATGTCTAACTCTCAACACATAAGAGGAACAAATCCCATCTTGACTACATAAGCCTCTTGTGTAGTTCACACCATACCTGAAAATGGATTTTATAACTACCTGGTTAAGGAACAGCATTTGACCATAATCAAAGCATATTACTCCCTACACTTAAGTCCCACTATGTATCTCAGGTGTTAAGGATACAAAGATAGTACCTTTTAATCAAGTATCATTCACGATAGCGATCCATGAGATGATCTTGATGCGGGTCAGTTCAATACTAGTTCTCTAACAAGTACCTATGAAACTTGGTTACAACCACTTGCCTACTTTCATCTAGTGAGAGTCAACCAATCCAATTCATATTAGTCTTA